TGCCAAGTACAATTACTAACATACTTAAGTAGAAATTTTACCAATCCATACTTTACTGGAGTAATTATTTCGAACTTTTAAGTTCTACTTTTTTTTTTCTTTTTTACAATTATCTCTACTTTCTAGTGAGCTGGAGTTGTTAGACGACCTGCTGGAGCCACTAGTCCTTGTTTTCCTGTGTCTGAACTTTAACGGGTTCTTTCGGCGCAGGAGCGGGGCGTCTTTTCTCCCTGCGTGGAGAACCCCTGTGGGTTCGTCCCTCAGATTCATGATAGTACGATATGTCCGAGCAAGAAACTCTGTCCCACCTGGATCTGTCAGATTTGGAGTGAGACAAACTTGTCCAAAAACCTCTCGATCTAGTGCGTGATCAGCATTGTGCTCTTCCTCCCCTGAGCCAGGAAAAGCGAGTGCTTCAGGAGCTGGAGGCAATAGGAGCAACTTGGCAACAACTGCTGCTTACCTTATCAAGGCCGCACTGGTGCTTATCTAAATGAAATTTCTTTTTGTTTACACTTGTGTATACAAAATGACAAAATAAATCTGTCTAAGTCTAATCTAGAACCGACCTCTTGAAATCCTTGGCGTTTGTAGTTATTCTTCAAGAGGAAAGTGGGCAGCCTAGTGGTTAGAGCAGTGTGCTTGTGCTCTGAGAAGGTTGCAAGTACCCGGTTAGATCCCCACAGCCTGTACTCTGGGTCCCTGAGCAAGACCCTTAATCCCAGATTGCTCCCCAGGTGCCGCACAGTGGCAGTCCACTGCTCCCCAAGGGGATAGGTTAAGATACAGATGTGAATATATCCATTGTAAGATCAGTGATGTTATATTATTATTATTAATTCATTTTTTGTAAATATGACCCATCTTGAAAGCTTGTATTCCCTTATTTTATCCTGAACATCAGTATGTTTAAATAGTTTTCGATCACCTTAAGTGTGGGGACATAAACAACTGTACAGCCAGGCTCTACAGTACACTGAACAGGTATCAAGACATGGTCATTTTTTCCACAAACATTTTCCTATGTTTAGTTATACAAAGGTCCTCCTCTTTAGTAATGGAACATGCAAAAATATTTTCATCATTTACAGCACTGCTTGTGTTAGATATTGTGTATAGTGTCTTTGATAAGAGATTTGGATAATGAAAATATCAGTGGGCCATTGTTGTTTTCTTTTGACATTATCATAGATGTCTGAACTTCATGCATGTGCCCTGCTTTTGTGTGAATTAAAGGATGAATACACAACACATTTGTGTTGGAACTAAAGTTTTTGTATAGGTAAGTCATGTTTTGGTGATATTTAAGGTCCTTTTTAATGACTAGTACTTGTTGAGCACATTGACTTATAAAGGTTTTAGATAAAGGCTGCATGGTGGCATTGTGGTCTTGCAGAAAAAAGCTTCCAGATTTGATTCCCAGTACCAGGTCTTTCTGCACAGAATTTGCATGTTCCGTTTTCTATTCTTTCCATGTTCTGTTGTGTGGGTTTTCTCCGGATAATCCGGCTTCCTCTCAAAGTCCAAAAACATGACTGTTATGCTGATTTGCATCTCTAAATTGTCCTAAGGTGTGTGTGTGTGTGCATGGTTGTATTTCTTTGTGTGTTTCTGAGTTGCCCTGTGACAGATTGTTGACCTGTCCAGGGGACAACTGTGGTGCGAGCCAACAGAGTTGACAATGACTCCTTGAGAGGCATTGAAACGTCTTCAAAAAAGCTGAGCGAAAGTTCAGTTGCCTTCAAATTTAAGCCTGTTTGTGGTATTTCAGCTTGTTTTCCTATGATGGCATCAGAGACTTTTTACCTTCCTTGACTCCTTAATGACTAAACATGTCTGTGCACCTTTTCAGCAATTGTCTCCAATGTTGTTTGCATCAACCACACCTGCCAAAAGCTGGTGATCAATCTACCAGTCATCATCAAAGCAGGGCTACCTTGAACTTAAAGCCAATCATGAACAGCTCCTCAGGTGATGCCTCCATCTCCCTTACCGGCTTCTGTTTGCTCTTTACCAGTCACTGATGCAATATGGATGATATTAAATTCATTCTGTCAGTCCAAAAATAACAACTCCAAGGTTGAAAGGAAATTTATGTTTCTTATTTTCAGTCTAATCAACTTGTAATAAAGTTATTTTCCCTGTCACCGTCAATATTCTGTGTCTGAATTTATTGTTTTACATCCAGAAAAAGATCTCGACAGTCAATACAAGGAACTGCTGGTCTGATGACTGTCTTCTTAATTAGCAGCTAGTTGACCATTAACTGAACACAAAGGTTGAAAGTTGGGGCTAATCCGTAAGTCGAGCATGTTGTGCATTTACTATAAGATTTCCTTAAAATGCAGGAAACCAAACTTCCAGTACGACTAGAAACATTTGAGGTATCTTTGTTTTTAGGAGGTGAAATCTTCACAAGATGGTGCAACTGTGGCATACATTGAGCTAAATATTGTATAAACTGGGTTTAAAACAACAGGATATTATGCTTTACTTTTTGCATGCCACATTTGCATTTATTCCTCAGACGGGTACATTTAATGCCGCATTTTCAAATATTTATGGTTTTAAGATCAGCCTCATTTTAAACACAGCTTCTCTCTTATATACAAATATAGATTTTGTGTTTTTATCTCTTTACATATATATTTGAGATAATAAAACTCACATATGTACGTTAGGAAGTGGTTTCTTAAAAACGAACAGCAGTTAGATGCTGAAACCTGCTGGTCAAATATATGTTGGCGGATGGCTTTTTACTTACAGTAAATACGTTAGATAGAAAGTAAAGATGCATCTGAAGAACTTTGATTGCTTAAAAAAAAAACATTATTCTCAGTTCTTTAAGTTATACATTCTCAATAGGCTTAAAACAGCCGATTTGTGCAGAAGGGACAAAATATTTTTATTTAATTTATTTTTTTCATCAGTTTTGGGCCTCTATTTATATGCTGGTTTTGGTTTTGTTTCCATTTTTCTAATATATTAATTGAGTTTTTTTTTTATTTACTATAAACCACCCATTGGGGTGACCAGCTTTAAAAATTATCTTTGGAATAAATCAACTTAAGAAGAGATTTGCCTTTTGATTTGCAAAGATGCATTCCTATAATGTAATGGTAGGTATATTATAGTCAATGACTTAAAATCAAATGACGTTAACTACTCTGTGCAATTAAAACTAAACACATTTATTGTACCAAATCAACTAGCCTGCAATGCAAAACAAAACAAAAAATAAAAATTATGAGGAGCATCACAAAAATATCAACAAATTAAAACTAATTCACCTATAAACTTTTGAGTGTAAAAAGGTAAAACCTTCAGTTAAAAAGGACGCAAAGTGTCCGAGACGCTGTTGAGAATCAAACGTGTTCAGTTTCTCAATATTACCTCTAGGTGGTGCTGTTTTACTGTTTTTCAGGTGCAGAAACATGTTCCTTGTTTACACAGATGCCCTGAAGTGGAGGTAGTTAAATAGACCTAGTTTGAATGTCATATGACAGAATTGTTTCCTCAGAAATCCTATCCAAATGTCTTTAGAGAACATAAACACTCCCAATTTGGGAAATAATCCAACTGCGACGAATTAAGGAGATAAAATGACCTTTAAATCATACAAAAATGAATCAATCTCATCTGACATGCTGCCAAACTTTGATGAAATTGCATAACTTCATTTTATTTTTTACTTTAGTTTTTTGTTACATCGACATAAAATGAATAAAATAGCCAATGGGGCAGACACAACTACGAAACAATAAAAAGTTTACTGTAGGTCAGCGACTTAAAAAGGGAAAGTTGGAGGAGGTGATAAAAGCAGAGGTGTAGCCAGAACATTTTTAAAAGGGTGGCCAGGCGTTAACCAATGTACACTAAGGGGTGGCCGAAAGTGGGTAGGCACCAGAACCTCAGGGTCAATTTACACTGTTCCAACAGGAAAATGAACGAATGAACTAAATAAAGACTAGCTATACTTTCCTACAGCCTTTCCTAACAAATAGACGCATATATTTCAACATCCGTTCTTTCTGGATTAAAGGTATGGTGGAAACACTTCTTTCAGGTTAGAGTTCTGGGGCAAAAATCCTTTCCATTGTCATTACTTACCAACTTGTATCAATAATCATTATGCATAAATTGATATTTACAAGTATCTACATAAATTGATTATTTACTACGTTTTTACTGAAATAGTTATTTAACTAGGATTTCTAAAGTCCTCCTTACACTCCCTGTATCTCAGAGAATAGACTTTAAAATACTTCTGTTAGTCTATAAATCTCTGAATGGCTTAGCACCTAAATACATCACAGACTTGCTATCAGTGTATCAACCCTCCAGACCACTCAGGTCTTCTGGCTCCATTCTGCTCTGCATACCTAGAACCAGAACTAAAACATGGAGAAGCAGCATTTAGTTCCTATGCTCCACTTATCTGGAACAAACTTCTAGAAAACTGTAAAAGTGCAGAAAGCCTGAGTTCCTTTAAATCAAGACTAAAAACACATTTGTTTAGGATAGCCTTCGACTGTTCTAGATAAACAGTTCTAGTGAAACATCATTAGTTCAACTTTTTTATTTTCTTTAGTCCAACTGTTTTTAATATTCTTTTTTATTTTATTTATTTATTGTTTCATACTTGCTTTGATTCTGTTTATATTCTAATCATGTAAATGATCACCATATAACACAAAATCTAGTTCTGAAAAGAGCATGAATTCTGTACTTATCGTCTTTAATTTTAGTACATTGATGTGCATAATTAACAAAAGTGTTTTTGTTGTCAAGTAATTGTTAATGTATTAAAAAATTAAAATGTTTTGAATATTCTACTTAAGAGTATTACTGCTGCCAATATCTGTATTAGAAGTGGAAAAATGGTAGGGGTGACCACAGGGGTGGCCCCCCATCTAGCTCCGCCCCTGAATAAAACGGTTGTTGTGTTTGGTCACATGACCTGGTGACATCATACAGATGCGAAACCTGTCAGGTAAGTC